ATTTTTGGGGGGTTAAAATGGGAGCTAAGTGTTGGAGAAGAGGTAAGGAGATCCTAGCACCTGGCTGAGACATTCTCCTTGAAGGGTAGAAGGAGAACTGAAAGGGAGTAGTAACCTTTCTGAAAACCGTTAATGCCTCTTCATGCACCGGCAGAGTTTTCTCCCACCCCTGGGGGGGCCGTCCCCCACTTTCAGCTTGCTGCACGAGAGGTGCTGCCTGCAGAAGGAGCGTGGACCTCTTGCCCTGCCTGCTGCTTTCGCTCCTCAGGGGTAGGGCTCCACAGGTGCCGAAGACAGACACAATATTCCTTGCACACTTCAAAAAACAGGACAGTGGTTCCTGTGGAGGAACAGATCTTTTGATGCCGATGTCATTGTCAGTTGGTGGAATTTCTCATAACCTTCTGGTTGGGAGCCTCCTGGAGAAGGAAGCAGGGTCATGGAGGGTGAGTAACAAAGTTCTTGGATCTGAGAGATAACTAAGTGATTTTCTGTACACTCGACATCCTCCCCCACCCGTTTATTGCTGTCCCCCTGAGTAACAGGGTGACCCACATCACTTCTTTCTCAGTCATTGATGACAGGAATAAACGAGATCCCCTCCTCTGTGAGAACGTCAACACTCTGTGTATGATCTGAGACTCAGAGCTCCTGGTGAAAGCAAGTCTGTTGCAACCACAGCCTGGAGCTGTAATCTTAGTCTGATCACAGAAATAAATAACGCATCGTAAGATATTGTGTCTGTACTCAGCTTTGTCTAGTTGAGACAAATTTCATTCATACAAAATGGTAAGGAGAACACACATACTCCTCACACGCTGATGGGTGGTCTGGTGAATGTTCTAGAAGCCTGGAGGAGGGAGTGAGGCCGGGCTCTGAGGGGGCAAATGAAGCTTTGTGGAGGAGGTAGGATGTTTGCAGAACTGCCTTCTCCCTATTTTCCTCCGGTGTCCTCCTGGCCCTTCATGCCCTCTTCCAGGATGGGCGCACAGTGGGCACCGGCGCAGGCCAGGGGGTGGCCCTCGCCCCTGGCCGTGGGCTGAACAGCATCCCCGAAGCCTGCGGGGGTGGGAGGCTGCCAGGTGGACAGCGCCCACGCTGCTGCCCGCGAGATCCTCGAAGACAGAGTTGCCAGCTGCCAAATTCTCCTTGTAGCCCACTCTCCTCCGAGGCCCGCACAGCAATGAGGGCTAGCGAGGGCAGGAGAGGGCTCAGAAGAGGCAGGGGAGCAGCGTCAGACATAACTGCAGGCACTCCAGAGGACGGCGGCGGGCAGGACCCGCGCTCAGTCTTCTGGGCGCAGGTTCCACCTGCCTCTGCGAGATCCCTCAGGCAGGGAGGACCCGGCCTGACAGGCTGGGAGTCTTCGGTCCCTGTGGGAGTGCTCTGCCCAGCCACGCCCTGCAGCGCCCGCTGGGGCCAGCAGGGCATCCGGAGTGGGGGGCAGCTCGGACACTAAGCCTCCATGTCCTCATCTGCCGCATTCACCAGATTTTATGAAGATCTCTAGTCCAGATTCGGAAAAAGATGAGGGAATGAGGCAAAGAAGAGAGGGAAAAATAAACAAAGAGAAAGAGACAGGGAGATGGAGAGAGAGAGAAGGATAGGGCGAGAAACAATGGTAAAATGAAAGTGGGGGTGTTACTGGGAAGATGGGAAAAGCAGAAACTCAGGAAAGGGCAGACGGACATGTGTGTTAAGGAATCACAGCATGTTAGATATCAAGGGAACACAGAAGACGGTCCCTTCTGTCTCCACACCTTCTGGTGGGGCCGCATGTGCCACAGTCAAGTCTGATGCTTTCAGTCTGGATCTGTAAACCTTAACTGAGGAAATTTCTCGTGCCCAGCACTGTACTTGGGGAAGATGGGGGTTACCGGGAGAGCATCTAGGCTTCGATAGGCATAACCTTACAATTTTGGAAACACACTGCAAAAATCATACATACAGAACTAAGTGCAAAAACATATTTATTTAGAATAAGAAATCAGAAGGAAGTAAATGTTTTAAAAAGCTGACATCTACAAGCAACACTCTAAAATCCAGGAAAGTAACAATGTTTTGGTGAATTAACTTCTTGACAAAGTGCTTTTTCCCCCTACATTCTCTTCAGTCACCTCTTCATTTGACCACTTTTTGAAACCATTTTCCACAGAGAGAAAGGACAGACAGTGCAACTTTTCCTCTAGCACAGTTGATCGAAATTTCTTTTTTAACAGAGAGGTTAGGATGCACGAAACACGTGGAGCCACGGGAGGGAAGAACCGGCAGTTTGTAGTACCGCCCAAGTGTGGGTCCCACAAATAGAGGGATTCAATGCATTTTATTTTTGTCTGAGTCCCATCAAAAAGGAAAAAGATGTGGCATACTTATAATTATATATTCTGCTTTATCAAGTGCAAATTCACTGCTAAAAGTGTGTCATTAGTGGATAGATGAAAAAGTTGGCTTTAATTGAATTTATTTTGCAGAATTAAATATATCTTAAATGTCCAACAATGGAGAATTGGTTAAGTATGCCACTGTTCCACTGTTATCTTCTTCAGTCATTTAGTATAACTTTTGTGGATGTATGTTGTTGGCCTGAAAAGATTTTCTTTATATGTTAAATAATTAAAGGGCATAAGGATATAATTTCACTTTTTAAAAATATATATGTGTATTATATGTTATACCTACATCTATTTCTATGTGTATGCATGTCTACCTGTACATCCACATCTGTATCATCTATATATAATCACTATAGGAAAAATTAAGCATACAAAACGTCTGGAAGATTATATAGCTTGGTATTAGTAAGAGCAGTTTCCCTAGGATGATGGTAGTGAAATTTTTTCTTGTCTATTATTTTATTTTTCTATAATGATTATGTTAATACTGTAACAATAGAAATATAAATAAAATTTTTAAATTGTATAATTTTTTAACAAATTCAAGTAGCTTCTTTCTTCCTCCACTCAGCCAGTTACAGGTATAAAAGAACTCTGGGTATTGAAGGTTAAGAAACAGCGACTCAAAAAAAAGGAACAGGCAGAAAAGTGAGTGTGCTTGTGTGTGTGTGAGAACATATATGTGTGAGTGTGAGGGCATGTGTGTGTATATGTGAGGGCATGTGTGAGTGTGTGAGAGCATGTGTGTGTGAGTGTTTATGTGTGTGAGAGCATGTGTGTATGCATGTCAGTGTGGGAGAGCATATGCGAGTGTGTGTGAGTGAGGGCATGTGTGTGTGAGTGAGGGCATGTGTGTGTATGCGTGCCAGTGAAGGCATGTGTGAGACTGTGTGTGTGAGAGCATGAGTAAGGGCATGTGTGAGAGCATATGTGTGTGTGAGTGAGGATATGTGAGTGTGAGTGTATATGTGTGAGTGAGAGCATGTGTGAGTGTGTGCATGTCAGTGTGTGTGAGAGCATGTGAGTGTGTGTGAGACCACATGTGCGAATGTGTGTGAAAGCATGTGTGTGTATGCGTGTGAATGAGGGCATGTGTGAGTGAGACCGTGTGTGAGCGTGTGTGAATGAGGGCATGTGTGAGACCGTGTGTGTGCCTGTGTGAGTGAGGGCATGTGCGAATGTGTGTGAAAGCATGTCTGTGTATGCGTGTGAATGAGGGTATGTGTGAGTGAGACCGTGTGTGAGCGTGTGTGAATGAGGGCATGTGTGAGCCCGTGTGTATGTGCGTGTGTGGGAGTGAGACCGTGTGTGCATGCATGTGTGAGACCATGTGTGAGCGTGCGTGAGCGGGGGTGTAGGAGCAGCTGCTCCGCCTTCGGGTCTCGCTCCTGGCTCGCTCGGCCCGCGTCCCCGGGGTCCTGGTGGCGCCCTGGTCGGGTCGGAGCTGCGGCGCCTGGCCCGCGTCACCAGCCCGGGAGGCTGGGAGGGGACTGGTCACCGGCGCGAAAGGCGGCGCTGCTCCCCCGCCCGCGCGGGGCCCGCCTGTGTGCGCGGAACCGAGCGGGAGGCGCTCCCCGCGCTGGCGGCCGCGTGAAGGCAGGCTACCGCCGGGGCCGCCCGCGAGCCGCCATCGGCCCGCCCCCGAGGCGCCTTCAACGCGCCAGGGCGGCAGCTCGGCGCTCGGGTCCCCGGCCGTCCCCAGCCCGCGCCGCGCACGCGCACAGCCGCCCTCGCTGCCGCCCGCGCAAGGCCGCCGCGCAAGGGCGATCCCGGGGACAGGGCGACGCTGCGCCACGGAAGCCCCTCCTCAGCTTCCGCCGGCGGCGCCGGGATCTGACGGCTTCCCTCAGAGGGAAAAGAGGTGGAACGCGTGATTTTGGATTAGTGACCCCTGGGCCCCCTTCCCCAGCGCCTCCCGAGCCGGAGCCCGTTCTCGGCGGACGACCCCCAGGACTCCAGCTGAGCCCCTCCTCACAGTCCACCGATGCGAGGTCTGAGGGGAGCCTTCGAGTCACTGCTCCCTCGGTCAAACGGGAGGATTCCTCCACCGCCTTCAGCCCTTGAGCACGCGACGTTCATTCCCGAAATACGGGAGTGCCCTCCCTCGCGGTTCGCGTTTCACTGTCGGTTGCGCCCGCCGGGCACCGTCCGTCTGTCCAGCGGATCCGCGCTGTGCGGGCTACCTGCCCGTTAGTCACTTAGCAGCGGTCTTGGTTGTTAGGTGGACTGTCGAGGGATGGCAGTGCTCGTGTCCAAGTAACTTTTATTTTGCTCAATAATGGCCCCAAAGTGCGAAAGTAGTGATGCTGGCAATTCGGAGATGCCAAAGAGAAGCCCTAAAGTGCTTCCTTTGAGTTAAACCGTGTGGAAGTTCTCGACTTAATAAGGAAAGAAAAAAAATCATTCGCTGAGGTTGCTCAGATCTCTGGTAAGAACGAATCTTCTATCCATGAAATTGTGAAGAAGGAAAAAGAAATTTGTACTAGTTTTTTTTTTTTTTTTGAGGAAGACTGGCCCTGAGCTAACATCCATGACCATCTTCCTCCACTTTATATGTGGGATGCCTACCACAGCATGGCTTGCCAAGCGGTACGATGTCCACACCCGGGATCCGAACCAGCGAACCCTGGGATGCTGAGAAGCGGAAGGTGAGAACCGCTGCACCACCAGGCTGGCCCCATGTGCTAGTTTTGCTGCTGCACCTCAAATGTGTAGTATGGGGAAAAACTTGGTATAGATAGGGTTGCGTACCCTCTGAGGTTTCAGGCAGCCCCTGGGGCCTTGGAATGTCCCCACGGGTAAGGGAGGACGACGGTCGTTCTCAGGGCCCTGCTCCATGCCAGGTACTGTGCCTGGCTCCGGGGAAACAGCAGGAAACAGCATAGAAAAGGCCCTGTCCTCTGTCCTACGGCTCCCCATCGTGTGTCTGTGGGTTGGACGACGTGTGCGTGAGGGTTCTGTCCCCATAGACCCTGTCGGTACAAAGTCCGTCTGATCAGCCCCCTGGCTGGGGAGGTTGTGATGGGGGGACCTTTCCAGTATCTTAGTCACACTCCTTACCCACCCCCCACTGTCCCGGTGGAATAAATGAAGAAAATTTCAGGACATTTGGCCAAGATTCCTTTCCCAGAATGAGCAGCCACCCCCAGTACACTCAAGGTCAAAATCGTCCTGTGCTTGGGGGCTGACATGTTTGGGTCTTTTCTAACGTCCTTGAGTCAGAGAAGATGAGAGCCAGCGTGGGTTGAAGTTTTAAGGGGGAGACGTCTTATTTCTTTTGTACAGATGATCGTTCTCATACCTGCTTTCTACCAGATCATCTCGTCCTCTCTCTACCACCTTTCAATTCATTTCTAAAAAAAAAAAAAAAAAAAAAAAAAAATCCCTCCTCCTCTAAGAAGCCCTCCGGGACTAGCATGCAAGAAAAAGCATATTCGGACTCCACCAGCTGAGGTCCGCCCTCAGAGCCTCCCTCTGCCTCCTCAGGCTGAGCTGGGGGCTCAGAAAGCGAGAGAGAGCAGGCCCCGCGGCCTCCTTCACTTTGGACGGTCACAGCGGCGATTCCAAATCACAGGCAGGGTGACATGTATCGGGATATGAAACACGTTCCCAACAGGAGGGGGAGCCTCCACACAGTTGAAGTTATGATTCGTTCCTGTAAGAGAAGCAACCCTCCTCTTCCTTGCCCTTAGAGCTGAGGTCTGCCTGTGGTCAGCCTCGAAAGAGGGGTGTTCGTACGTCCTCTGGTCACTCTGAGGGGTTATAGTTCAGGGCACTCAGGTCAAGGCAGCCTCAGGGCGACTCGGACACATCTGGCAAGGTAATTCGCACAACGAATTTTGACCTGACATCTCAGGGTACCTTCTTTTGGAAACTGCTGCTCCTTTTGCTATGAAAAAGTAAGCCTCTGTTTTATTTATTTAATTTTAAAAAAATTTTGTCTTTTGTTCACTATAGAAACTTTCAAAAATTCCCAAAAGCACAAATATCATAAACATCTGCCGTAATACCACCAAGCTGAGATAAGGACTTGCTTTGCGTCCGTGCAAGTCTCATCACTTTCCTCTAATGTGTGTGTGTGTGTGTGAATTCCCCAGCTGCCTGAACACCTGCCCCCAACACTAATGCCCCTGCTGTGTAGACGCTCTCTTCCTGCTGTTCCTCTCTCCAAACAGATAGCGTAGATCCAGCCTAGACAATGAGATGATACTGCATGTAGCATATTGCAACCTACATTTCTTGCTTAATAATATGTCAAGATCAAATCCCTTCCATTATAATTAAGCTTGCCGGCAACAGGATTGTTATGACTACATAAGATTTCATCACACAGTGGTACCATGACTGAATTCACCATTCCTCCATTGTTCGTTTAGGTGGCTTTCAATGCTACAATGTTACAATGTTACAAATATCATCACAGCTAACAACCTTATAAACACATCCTTGTGAACATCTCTGATTGTTTTCTTCCAGTTCATTCCGAGAACTGAAATTCCTGGATCGAAGGGAATAAACATCTTTACAGCTTTGCACACACGTTGCACTGTTCCGAGAGGTCCCCTCTGAGTGGAGGGGCAGTGAAATAAGGACAGCTCTGGAACGCTGAGGCAGAGGCTGGGGGTGGAGCTGCCCTGGTGTTGACAACCGTTTCCTACAGGTGGCCAGTGCCAAACAGGGACCTTGAGCGCATAGGGAGGGTGGAAGCAGAGATGAAACTCAGCAGAACTACCCGTTATATCCATGAAAGGGTGGGCTGAGGGGTAACAGCATGAGGCTTAGGGCTCAGACATTTTGAGAAGTCGAAGCTCCCAGTCTCTGTGCTTGAATCACCACCGTAGGCTGGGCAGGATCTTGGAAAATACAGCTTGAGGGAGTAGCCACACACACATTAGCACCTGCCAACCCTATTAATCAGAGCTTGGACAGACTCCTCATTGGTGCTGGGGAAGCCAGCAGAAGATTCGGATCTTCTCTCCACTGCCCTGGGCTTATTCTTCCAACCTCCCCCCACCTCCCTCTATGCTGTTCCGGGGATCAGCATGGGAAAGGCAGAGCTCTCTCTGCCCCTCTCTCTCAACATTCAGGCTCTCTTTGTATCTATTAATTCATATCTAGGTCAGACAGGGTCTACAGCACGCAGGGCGCTGTGCCAGGTCGCGGGTTGGAAAGATGAATAAGAAATGCCCCTGCCTGTGTAGTTAAGAGTCTATGAGACATGTCAGCGTGCGAACTAACTTGCAGATCACTAAAATACAGTTGGCAATTTCTGTTCCTTTCACTCACTATTCTTAGAGTAATGCCTGGCAAACTGTGGACACTGGAAAATATTTGATGAATGCCTGATGAATGCCTACCTGATGGAATAAAGGCATTCAAAGGGGTGTGTCCCTCCAATACAACGTTACCTAGGGGTACTTTTTTTGTTTGTTTTATTTCAAGACATAATTTATATGTTATAAAATTTACTTGTTTTTAAGTGTACAATTTGATGACTTTTGGCATATTTACAGAGTCACGCAGCCATCATGGAAATCTAATTTCAGAACATTTCCATCATTCCCAGAAGAAACGTCATGCCCATTTGCCCTCACTCCCAGTTTCCTCATCTCCCTTGTCCCCAGTCCTAGGCGATCACTCATAGACTTTCTCTATCTGTAGGTTTGCCTATTCTGGATATTTCATCTAAATGGAACCAAACAATGTATATTGTTTGTGTCTGGCTCTTTTCACTGGACATAATGCTTTGGAGTTGTAGCATGGATCAGTTATAGCATGTACACATTGTAGCCTGCATCCGTACTTTATTTTTTTAATTGCAGAATAATATTCCATTGTGTGGAGAGATCGCATTTTGGTGTTCATCAGCTGAAGGACATTTGAGTTGTTCCCACTTTTTGGCTGTTCTGAATAATGCTGCTGTGAACATTCATGCCTAGTCTTCGTGTGGACGTACATTTTCATTTCTCTTGGATGGAACTGGAATTGCTGGGTCACAGCGGGTGCTTTTTGAGCAAAGATTTAAAGAGGCACCTATGGCAGGAGGCCTTGGCCCAGCTCGATGGATCTAGCATCCGTCTAAGGTTCCTAAACAGACACGCGAGCATGACTCTCCCTGGCCACTTTCTAACCGAGGCGAGGTCTGGGGCCGTGCCTCCCTCTCCCCACTTCTCTTTAGCCTGTGTATGGCCATTCAGTGAATTTTCCTTTTCAATGGTGATCTTGGCTTTTCCTTTTTTACAGGGAGTCAGGGTGGGCGAGGGTTTTCCCATACTTTTCTATTTTTAAAATCACCTTATTATTTTTCCTTAGTACAAATGGAGGGTGTTTATTGCAGAAATGTTAGATACTACACTCTAAATTTAAAGAAAAACTAAGTAAGAAAATTAAAATGATCTAAAATGTCACTACATAGACCTAATCACAGTCAATATTTTGGTGTGTATCCTTCTGTAGATGGATAGAAAGATCTATGTATATATCCATAGATAGACATAGGTATCAATGGAGACATAGATGTTGTGTATGTTATTCTGATACCTGTTTTTCCCCTTGATATATTCTGACTATTTCTGACTTTATATTTTTTATATTAAATGATTATATGATTATACACTTTTTCATAAGCACAGTGAGCTTTAATTTATTTAACTAAATCCTTATCATTGGGCATGTAATATGTTCCAAATTTTTTGTGCAGTTAAAAAATATTGGAGTGAATGAAGCTTAATTAATTTTGCACATATTAATCAGTATTTTTACAGACTATAAAACTATTTTTGAAAGCGTGTTTTGAGGCCTTTTATTGATATTGACAATTGTCCCCAGAACGTTTCATCCAGCTTGCACTTCTACCAGCCATGCATGAGAGGGTTTAGTCCCTGCATTTCCACTAAAATTGTCTCACCATAAAAAGCAAACAAATCCCACAATTTATCAATGAGCAGAAATGGCAACTTTTGAAATTAAGCAATGCTCTTTAATAACTAGTGAGATTGATTACTTTTCACGTATTCATAGGCTATTTAAGCTTCTCTTCGGAGCACCCACACGATTCTAGGGGAACACCACGGGTCTTCCTTCCCATCGCCCCCCGCCGGCCACCCTGCCCAGTAGACACACCCAGAAACCCCTCCCCTCCGCTCACACCTTGGCTGGAAGGCTCGTGGAATGACTGGTGGACCCTGCTCCACCTGCCACCACAATAAGACCACAAGGCCCACTCTCATGGCATAGGAAATATCTTCGGCTGCCCACAGGCTGCCTGGTACCCACTGAGGTACCCAACTCAGTCAGATCGAGTTTTACGACAGGATGGAAGTGCAGGCTTTCAGAACCCCGTGTTTTGGCACCAGCATCCTTTATCGGAAGGGCCGGTCTGTGGGTGGTGGGGACCAGCTGTTCTTCTTTCCCCTGAGGGTCGGAGCAAAGGAAGTGAGATCAAATTACAGCAGAAGGGATGCCAGTTAGACAAAAGAAGGAACTTATGGCCAAGGAAGCATGCAGAGCACTGCACCTAAGGAAATCTTTGATGAGGGTGAGTTGTGTGTGGTTCGACTGGATCCCTGCCTGAGGGGAGGGGCTGGGCCTTAGCCCAGGCCTAAGGTGACAAGCTCTGGCTTAGCTCATGAGTGTCCCGGCTTCCTGCATGCCTCCCACCACCTGGAGCCTTGAGAAGCTCTCTTGGGATTATGACCTTAGACAGATAGCACCCTGTGGGGCTCTCCACCCCATCTTAGAATAAATAATATAATCTGAGGTTGGGTTTCTAGAATCCAAGAAACAAACAGAAGCAAAAGGAAGTTATATCATTGAAGGCTGACTATTTCTCAGGCTCTGGGCCATGCATTAAAGACTAAAATCTTTATGATAGCAGATAAAGAAACGGAGGCACAAAGAGGTATGACTGGCCTAAGGTTACACATTAAATGGCCGAACTGGTATCCACACCCAGACCCGTTGTGGCTCCAATGATCCTTTCCAGTGAACCATATTATTGTGGCAGGAACTTCACTGCAGGAGGTGAGGGTACTCAAGAGTACGAACTATTTACATTGGACAATTACCAAACAATTACCGTAGCCATCCCGGTCTTCCTGGAGTCTAAGTATCTTCCTCATCCAGGTGGAGCAGGCCTTGCCAGGTCTCCTGAGGCTGGGCTCCTTCACAGTCCCAGTGTCTTTGGGTTTCTCGGCCCTAACCATCCTCTCTTTATGTTCTTTCACTCACCTTTACACAGTGGTAGGTACTGTGTGGAGGTGGAAAACCCAGATGAGGAGTAAAAATAGAGAGTCAAACCCCAACTCTACCACTTACCAGCTGGGTGACTTTGGGCAAGTTAGTAAATTTCTCTGTGCCTCCATTTCTTTGTCTTTAAAAAGGAATAAAAAATAGCATCTTTTTCACAGTTTGGGTGTAATTACTAAATAATTAGTAGGTTCAAATATTAAGAAATAATAAGTTCTAAGATAAGGTTAGCTTTCATTATTTAGGTGGAAATCAAGACTTATACATATGGGGAAATAAAGCCTGCCTCAATAGGTCCTTCCATCTTCCCTCCCTTCCTTTCTTCCTTTCTTCTTTTTTTTCCCCCTTAATAAACATTCACTGAAAGTCCACTACTTGCCAGACATTATGCTAGGCACTGCAATACGTGCTTTGATTTCATTATATTCTAACTCTAGTACTATCTATTTTTTCCTGCTAGAGACAGACAGGGCTGGTGTACTTCTGTGGGCCATTAGCAGATCTTTTGCTAAAATATGAAGAAATTAAGAGAAAGGAATTAACCAGAATATCAGAAATATAAGGAATGTTAGGTACTGTCTAGTCTGAGCTTCCCATGTCCTCATGGGTGAGAAAACTGAGCCATGAGATGATAAGTGACTGCACATGGTCCCATGGCCGGGTCACCGGAGATTCAGGACTCTAACCTGTGGTTTCTGGGTGTCTCATAATCTCTTTCCATAAACCTTCCTACTTTTTCTAACCGATAGCCTGGATGGAGTGCTGGAGGGAGTGAGTTATTGATAGGCCGCATATCGTTTCAGCATCTTGCATGGTACATTGCATGCCAGATGTGTTTCTGCCCAGCCTTTCTTCTCTTCTTACAAAATTGTACTCACTAATCATGTTGGCAGAGGGTGGGGGCGGGGGGTGCATTGTACCTGGTGCCAACAAAATCCAACCATCACATCTGGCGTGCAGATGTCCCCCCGCCCTCAGGGATACTGGCTTGCATGGGAGTGGAGACCTCTGTCAAGTGGCCCCAGCTGTGCTCTGAGATGCCAGCCATCTGAGACTAATGAAAAAGGCCTGGTCTCCAACTTCAGCCAGCCTCTCGTGTGCTCTCTCTCCCTGCCCATTCAATCTCTGTGGTCTGCCAACTTACAGGCGAACTTAAAACCATTTCCCTGGAAAATTTTCCCAGTTCCGGTGCTTATTAGCTGCGTGACCTTCGACAAGTCATTAGCTTCTCTAGGCCTCAGTTCTCATTTGCAATAACTATATACTTCTCCCATCCGTCCCAGGTTTGAAATAATGTAGAGTTGATCTTTTTTGCATTCGATACCTTGCCACGTATCTATTAACCACCAACCATGTGTCCAGTCCTCTGCTAGGAAACATACATAGAGCTTCCCAACATATGTTATAGAGTGGCTCACATTTAAAGCGATTTGCACAGCTCACCAGGATAAAGAAATGGGGCCATCTGCAGCCGAGGTCACATTCTGAGTTTCCAGACCCTATTCAACAGCCCCAAGAGCCATCTCGGAACATCTCATAAACCACTGCAGCACACCATCTGGAGCTGCTAGATGCTACTAGAGTCCAGCGGCTCTCTATGCTGTCCTTGTCATCCGGAGCTTGCAGTCTCGCTGGGGAAGTGTGGCACTCAAAACAGCATTGAACAGCTAACGTGGCACTGGAGTAAGTGTTGCATTATGTGCTTAGAGCAGAGGGTTACCGTAAGTCAGGCATGGGGGAGATCAGTGTGGCGAAGGGGTGGAGGATGCTTCCTAGAGGAATGGTGCCAACTCAGACGGCAGCTTGGATTTTGTTAACATCGAAGCATGAGGCAGGGAGCTACAGAGGGCAGATCACTCTACTGAGAATTAGGAGCCCTGGATGCTAGTTCTGACCCCATCTCGGAATCGCTCCATGACAAAGAGGTTATGTCACCTCTCCATGTGTCTCTCCTCTTGTCTCCCAAAGGTGCCTATAGGACCTGCTGAGGCCACTTCAAAGGCTGCTGTGAGGTTAAAATGGGAGAGTGGATGTATATTCATCAGGAATGACGTGCCATGTTAATGTTATGGATTATTATTAGACATAGACCAGGAAAGCCAACATAAGCTTCATGCTCATAGAGGACTTTTCCTTGTTGGGTTCATTAATGGATGCCAAGTGCTCAGAACAATGTCTGGCTCATAGTAGGGACTTTACAAATAGTTATTGAATGAAAGAGAAAGGGGTGACTTGACTGACTTCTGGGTCAACTACGACTTAGGAGCTAATGTGACCAGCCACTCCCCATGGGAAAAGGAATGAGGATATGAGGAGTCATGAAGCAGGCAGTTAGAGAAGTCACACCCAGCAGGAGACTAATGAGAAGGTAAACAGAGGGTTATGCGAGAATGTGGAAGCACCAGCTCCCCAAGACAGGTCCTCTGCATTACCGGGGGAGGAGGTGACGTCCACCTTGGGACTGAAGGCAGTAGCAGCTGTCCAGCTGAGGGAGGGGAAGGGCATGTGTAGGGAGCCCCTTTGAATCTCTATTTCAAACAAAGCTGAATTTTTCGGTCACTGTCTCTCGAGCGAGTGGCTTTGGTCCAACAGGGAGTTCTTTGCTTTCCTTGATGACTGCTTGTTGTGGCCGCTCGCTCTCCAGGGGACCCCGGGCTTTGATCCCCACCCACCTCCCCAAAACCAGGACTCTGAGCCCCTGACAGGGATGGGGATTGTCGTGATCAGGCACTCAGACTCCTGGTTTTATCAGGTGGCTCGTGTTACACAGCAGGCACGTTGAAGAAGAGCTTTTAACTTGGATCCAATTTAGAACTTCATTTTTCCATGAGTTTTTGATTCTGTTCCTTCCTCCTTTGGCTTGAGATTGTAATAAAACATAAAATTACCTGGAATAAATGCCAGACTGGCTGTATGTTCACTGAGTGCCAGAGAGGCTGAGATTAGAGCAAAGAATGAGATACAGTGCACGAGAACGAGGTCTCTGCTGACCTGGCCTCTCCTCGGGTCTGAACCAGCGCACACCTGGACATTCTCCCCTTGGGGCCTCACCCTCCATCTCTCTTCCCCATCTCCTCCTACTCTTCCTGCTCATTCCTCATCAGAGATGGAGGCTGTGCACTTCCCCCTAGGGATGCTGTGCCCCCCGAACAAGATTTTGTTTATCGTTCTTCCCAAGCAGTCCCTCGACGTCATGAAGACTGTGCAGCAAGTTCATCTCTTTCCAGGGGCCATTTCCAGAAAATGGCTCAAAGCCTGTGCCCTGTATTAAGAATGGCTTGCGCCTACCTAGAGGCACTGGCTCTCATCTCAGAGGGCAGATTTAGACGTTCTTAGAACCCACAGATGCTATAGAAAGTCTTCATTAAAGTGCGGTTTCAGGGGCCGGCCCCGCGGCCGAGTGATTAAGTTCGTGCGCTCCTCTTTGATGGCTAGGGGTATTGCCAGTTTGGACCCTGGGTGTGGACTTAGTACTGTTCTTCAGGCCAAGCTGAGCTGGTGTCCCACGTAGCAGGACTAGAAGGACCTACAACTAGAATAT